GAAATAATCTTTCAGACCAACCATCAGGACACTCTTGCTTGTGATGGTCAGACTCCTTCCATTTAGCCCTCTTACCCCTGCCTAGGCAGGACACCATTGGGACTTCACTTCTTTTCTTCTTCCCCCCTCAGGATTGCAGGAACACAAAAAGACAAATGGGAAAGAAAACAGGGCAGAAAGAAATCCCACAGCAGCAGGCATGGGGAAAGTCCAGCATTCCAACACGTTTATTGCTTATTTTTACAGTGTTTAATGGTGAAGTACCACACATAGACACAAACAGATTCAAAGCAACCTCCCACCCTAGAAACAAAATGAGGGGAAGGGGCTCTGTTTCAGTTCTTCATTATTAAAGCTCTGAAGTAAAGAAATTTCAACAAACATTAGTAACCCAATCTATGTGTTTCCCTAGCCTAAACTCTTTCCATTTTTACGGTGTTTTCAAAGTCTAGATCAAGTTTCATTTGAGTTTGCAGGATGAAGGTCGCTATTTCTTGCTTCCCCCTTAGCCAAAATACTCAATTTCTTTGTCTTTTCTTTTTAACACAAAGTTGAAATTATCACGAATATTCAAAGAATCTTTGTTGCACTTCCCAAATGTACTCTATAATGAAGAAACATGTAAATGCATAGCATCACAACAAGCCTAGCAAAACACAGAGCCCATTGAAAAAAATATTCTTCCATTTAATTAAGGACTGCCTAAAAATTCCCAAAGTACACAATATAAAATATATGCCATAAAGAAGCTATGAGGGAATGGTTCTTCCCCAGTCAAAGTCAACCCCTGGGAAGCTTCTTCCATCATTCATCAACTGAAGTTTTAACATCCAAGGTTCTGAGCTGACTGCGGCAGCAGGTAAAAAGACCTTTGAAGTTCCCAAGGGGAGCTTTTTCTGGGTGTTGTTTAGTAGCATCAAATCACCAATCTAACTGCTAAAGTACCTTTGAAAAGAGTTTCTGAAGGATGAGTTTGAAACCAGGAGCAGTCAGTAGCTTCCATCTCACTGAGGAAATGGTATGCCAGCAGAGCAAGAAGGAAAGCTGGCATAGAAGCATAAGGGCAACGACGCAAGGGAAGAACCCCCAAATTACATGGGTTACTACAAAAAGGGAACTTTCACCTGCTCAAGCAACTGAATATACACTTGTAATCTGCCAAGGCATATGCAAAGCAATTGTTAAGGTGACTAAAGGAAGCTTTCACAGAGTACTAAGTGACAGAACAACGAATGACCATGCGACCTTCAGCTGAGCCCACTTAATAAGCATTAGATACACTCTATAATTAACTACATGTTCATATGCTGATCTTCCTTCCTTTAATTCAATGCAAACATAGATTCTGCTCAGGGAATGATTCAGAATTTGTAGTGAATGAGACTCTTGTTTCTCAGACCTGGCCAGCCTCAAAGAAATACTACAATATAAATATTTAAAAATAACAAAAGCATGCAACTCTTAGCCAAGCACAGATGTTAGAAAGTGACTGCAAATCTTGGCATTTGGTGGCACCTAGTAATCCACTGGCTGAGTCACTAATGTGATTGATGGCCTTAAATTGTTCAGGAACTATTGGCCCCTCTGAGAATTAAGACCTGTGAATTGTATCATATTTTTTGTGTAAGTGCTATTCTGTATGCAACCAGTAGAATCACAGAATCAACCGGGTTGGAAGAGATCTCAAAGATCATCAAGCACAACCGTACCGTCACTACTAGACCATGGCACTAAGTGCCACATCTAGTCTCATCTTGAAAACCTCCAGGGATGATGAATCCACCACCTCCCTGGGCAGCCCATTCCAATGCCTGATCATTCTCTCAGTAAAAAATCTCTTCCTAAGAGATTCTAAAGCAAATGTTGGATTTTATCCTTATAGGCTTTAAAAAGGTATGTTACTCTGCTGCTTGGGAAATCTCTTTACCATTAGAGAAACTGATGCAACTGATCTGCTTCTGAACTTTGTGCATATTTGGTTTGATACTCTGATTTTGGTAATGATGTTATGGTTGGTACTAGCACAACCAAAAGTAAAACTCCTCTTGCAATAGATCTTTCTCAGATCTAGTCCTGAACTCAAAGAGTGAACTCAAAGAGAACCAGCAAACAAAATCATTGTATTCCTGTAATCACCATAGACTCTACTATACCTGAATAACATGCCCTGGACACCTGCAGGGTAGAGAACACTGAAGTGGCAATGCATGAAAAACTAAAGGTACAAAGGCAAATGGGCACATTACTACTTATTTATCAAGTCAAACACTTTCCTTTGTATCTAATTTAAAATGCAAGTCAGAGCACTTCAGTTTTGATGAAGATCTACCTTTGTAAAAAACGTTGGTCTTTCAGGTCATTACTTCAATGGACATCGACCAACATAGCCAGCAACAGATTTTGAGCAAATGAAAGATGAAGAAAAAAAAAAACCACAAAGAAAACTAATTGTTGCCCTAAGTGCTTCAAGTCACACAAGATTCTCACATGCTGTCAATTAAGTGAACCCTATAAAGTTATGATCTATGGCAAAGTTCCACCAGAATGATTATATCACAACAACAGACGCAATTAAATTATTTCTGCCAATAAAGTCATCAGTGCAGAACATATTACTCCTTTCAACTCTATGCAATTTCTTTTTTTTTAACCAGAAAGTGCTTCTATGATGGTACCATCTTGACTGAGTCACAAAAACCACTTTTAACCAGTAAGTTTCACTGAATCCACTCTGTACTTAGTAAACGTATTTGGTATCCTGACCACACAAGGTGAACTCATGGAAGGGTAGCAAGGGCTGTCACCATTTTTCTTTCCAAATGTATTTAGTATGTTTCATGGTATTTTCAGCTATTTTCTGTCTTCCTTGCTATCAAAAATAATCATAGAATATTTCAGGCTGGAAGTGAATTCTGCTGATCATCAGGTCTATTCCCAAAGCAGGGTCAGCTTTAATTCCACAGAACAAACAAACAACAACAAAAAAAATCTCACCAAAAAAAAAAAAAAAAATCGAACAAAAAGTAGAAAAAAAACCCAAACAAAACCCAACAAATGACTGTAGCAGTTAAAAAAATATGTGATTCCACCTACAGTACTTGGCTTCTTTGTTCCTTCAGTTAACCTCACAGTACTTAGCTTAATCATGCTGATTTTGTTCCAAGTCTTTCTATAAGCTAATTTTAGGGCTCTGAAAAGAAAACATGCACATTTAGGGTGCTACATAAATATGGTTTTTAAATAGTCAACAAAATCTTTCTTTAATCAAAAATAATGGATAGTTTTTATCATGGAGAGATTTTAAGAAAATAAATCAGGGTTCTGGCAGCCTTCCAGCAGACAAAAACTTCACTTAACCTCATACAGAGGTATAAAAAGGAACAGGCCATGTCTTGGAGAGCTGTAATCAAATAGGCAAGTGAGCAAAGAAGAGAAAAAAGGATGTAACAGAGGCTTGACGGGAAAGAAGACTCAATGGGACTTGCTAAAAGCAATAAAGAAAAGGACAGTTCATGCAAAAGGAGGAGTAGGAAGAGTGAGACTGAAGCAGTGGTTTGGACACAGCACAGGCTGGTATGACAACAGTTCGTGGACAGTCAATGGGTGTGTTCAATAAACCGGACATTACAAAATACACCAAACAGCCTGGAATAAAACCAACCAGACTACTTAAAAACTTAAACATTTTCCTCTTACCAGCACCAACACATTCACTCCAAGTTTCCTTACCTACACCAGTTTTGGATTAATCTCTTTGCTTTGACTTGTATAAATGTATAAATGGAAGATGATTTATCATCTCACCCCACAGTGTTGTATGGGTACATACACTACTGCCTCTAAATCACAAGCATGTCCCATCACAGAAAATACAATAAAGAAAATTGGTAACTGTACAGTCAGCATGGGTTCTAGACAGCATGCAACAAAAACTGCATTGAACACCACATTAAATGCGATCAGAAAGAAACCTTGAACTCTTCATACAGTAAACATTGTTCTTCCTGCCCACTGAATAGGACAGAGCCTTTAGGGAGCAATAAATAACAAATATTCATTCTTTCTTTCTCATACATGTTCTGCTACCTTTTTGCCATATGTTGCTACAACTGAGTTTATGTACCAGCTGCTTCCGTAAAAGAAGCTCCTACATAGACACTTTCTCATATCCTGCAAACAGCAGCTCCCAACACACTGACAAGGCTTTTATTGCATTATGGAAGCTCCCAAGCTGTTCAGCAAGACTAAACTCAACATGTTACATCCTATAAGTACAATGAAATTTTAAAACATTAAGAATGAGTTCTATATGAACATGACACATTGTGCAGGGAATGTATTTTCAAGTCATTCAAAGCCACTAGATTGCTGCTGTGCCTGGGTTTTAGTAGCTTTTCTGCTCCCAACACCCAAATTCCCGCAAGGCTGCTGACCTCAGAAACAGGGTCGCTACTGACCCCTAGTGTTACAGAGTTCGGCCTCAGTTTGACTGATTTATGGCAAAAAGCACGACGAGTACCAATCCTTCAGCACTGTGTTGTTCTTCTGACACAGCAAGTGGTCCCTGCCTTGTGCTGAGGTTCTTTCCGCTCCAGTGTACAAACAAAAATAGTAGTATTCATTCTTAAAGAAACAAGTGGAAAGGAAATATAAACTTCTAAGTATCCCAATAAACTGCACATTCCTTCCGCTTTCAAATGTTTAACGCATTTTTCATTTGGAAAATTAACAGTAGGATATCTAGAGCAGACTGACAGTCATGGCTTCAGGTGGGTATTTATAGCCTCTTGATCAGTTATTAAGGAATTAATGACAGTGATCCCCAATCCAAGCTGGCCTGCAAAGCCTAGTGCAAGGAAAGGAGTCATAATTGCTAGGTTGCTGCAGGACTTCACTGTCCCAGGGAGAAATAAATGTACAGTCCAGTGAGCTAGCTGCAGTTGCTTACAACAGAAAGCTGTAATTACAGAAATTAAGAACAGTCCTACTGTCCTACTTACAATTTTGAGTCCAGGTTCAGGAGAAAGCCCAGTTTGTCATATTCTGGAAAACAAAAGCAAGGGACACGATATTATAAAAATTGCAAGTGTCTTTTCTGCAAAAGGCACCAAAACCCAAAATCAGCAAGTCCTTATGGAACTGTAATAATTATTTCTAACTGAAAATAGCTATATCGTAATTTCCAGTCACTTAGTAGCTGTTAACACAGATTGTTGTTACTTCAAGGTATTCCCAAAATAACATTTCTGAATCTCCAGGAAATACTAAAGGAAGAGAACACATGGGTAATCATTGATTTAGAAGCATTAGAATTAATCAAGATATCTGTTGTCATAAAAACAAAGCATTACTGAAACCATTTGTGCAGTGATAAACAAAGCTTTCCTGCTTGCTGTACAAATCATTGTGCTAATGATCTGTATGACAAACACTCTTCCTAAGCCCTGATGTGGTGGAGCTTAGAAATTTTTCATCATTCCTTGTCTCTTTCAACCCACAGCTTCATAATCAAGCAGCCCTTCTTCAAGAGAAAGTGTGGCACAGTGGCAAAAATGCTTCAAGTTCAGGTGTTGCTGTTCAACAGGAAACTGCAAAGTCAGTTTAGGCCACAACCAGGAGCCAGCTACAGAAACAAAGTTATTACTCAGAACATTTGCAACTCCTGTATAAAGTAAGCTTTGCATTCAGCATCTTTGAATATATTAAGACCCTGTAAATACAAAAAAAAAATAAAACTATTAGAATTCACACAAGATACACAAGAAAAAATAAAAAGTGTAGTATCCTTGTGCTGGGTCAAGCTCAGAGACTTCGTCACACTGAGAACCACTGGGTCTCACTACCATACAATAAAAACCAATACAAACAGAGAAGTAAGAAATAATCCCTCCAGAGCTTAATGATCAGGATGTATTAAGAGAAACATAAAAAATTCTCATAAGCTTTTAGAGACAAATACAGAAGATTGGCTGCCTCATGAGACAGTCCCAGAATTTCTGCTGCAGTAGTTTACCTCTTCACACTATCACTTACCAGCAGAACAGGAAAGCCTAAACATGTACCTAAAGACAAAACAATTGCACCAGATAGGTCAGTGTGAAATGTGCCATTGGTTTCAGTCTCATTAAGATTTCATTCCTGAGCCAAGGGAAGTATTATATTTGACATAACTTGAGGTAACAGAAGCTGCAGAACACGTGTGCACTTGATATTGGCACTTACGATCTGTTCTCTGCCAGCACCCGTGTGCCACCCACCATCCCTGTTGTACTTGACGTTAAAAATGCAACTGTGCATCTCTCCTCCACCTTCCACATACTGACAGTTCTGTTTCCCCCATGTGCTGCTTTCCTCAAATTCCTCCCGGTTTATTCCTCCTACAAGAAATTATTTCCTGTCCAACCTTACCTCCTCCGCACATAGGATCGTGCATCGGAAGGTATCTGATCTGGAGAAAGAAACATGACTTCAATTTTTATTAACCTTTCTGACTCCCAAAACCAACAGCCATACCAAGCAAACAGCAACAGATTTTTTTTTTATCATTCACTTTTTTTAAAACACCTACAGCCACTGCCCCACCTGTCATTAGTCTTATCCCATTCAAGCCGACATTCCCTTCTTCCCAGTAGGAAATACAAAAAGAGGTAATGCAATAAGAAATATATCACCTCACAACTACCACAACATCCTGGGCTGTCTACTAACTCAGCACTTCGTGAACATAGCAACCAAAGCAGCAGAACACACAGACATACTAAACACCAAGTGCCATAGATGACAGATTTCCTTTGCAATGTTTCACAAGATTTGTTTGTCACATGCATTTCTCCTTCCCTAGGTTTAATGTTTTGATGTTCACTGCTCATTACTGACAGAGGCATAAAGCAATCTTGTAAAATTATATCACAACTGCCTCACAACAGGTACTTTCCAAAAAATTTATGAAGTATGAGAATAAAACGTTTCTAGTTTCAAACTAGAAGCACAGGTGTGTTCTTGATTTTCAGTATGGTGTAAACTAACCTTTCAGGCTGCAACATCAAACCAGAAGAAATCTACATTCCTTCCTCTTGCTGACTGGTGAGATGTGCAAGCTACTGCAGGCAGAGAAATGCTGCCTTCACCACAGGCCATCTCACACTCACTGGCACTTGTGGAAGTCAACATTACTATTAGCTTCTAAATGAATCTCTGTCACATGCTGCTTCCCAGGGAAAGACACTAGGACCCTCTAGAATTACAAATTAAAAGTTACCTTCCTTTTTAGCAAACATCATAGTCTAATTACAGACTTGCGATGTCATTTAGTTGTATCACTAGAAATACAGGGGCCAAACATCAGCTCACATGCTGGCTGGATGCAGTCTGGATTCACAAAAGACAGACACAACCCCAAATATCTGAAGAAAGCCAAACACACAAAGCCCAGCTGCAGGAAAAGGCAATCCTTGTCTGGAGTGACATAAAATTAAAACAAGATGAAACACAGACTCACTAAATCAAAATACAACTGAATCAAAACCAGTTTGGTCAGGGTGTGATGATTACAGGAGAGGGACTGAGCCGATGACACAGCTCACAGCTTGAGAAAGGGGCAATCCCACTCCTGCCCTTTCCTCTCTTGAAAACACAGGCTGCAAGAGCCTGACTGCCTTGGCACTCACATCGCCTCTCCATGCTCTAACCTACAGAATGCTTTCTCCTCCCAACACCTCAGTTTAATGCCTTACTCACTAAGCAAACCACTTCATACACAAAAACTTTTCTCCTCTTTTTCATGCAGTAAGATAAAGAAGTGCCAGAATATTAGAAGAAACAGATCAAAACAGTAGAGCAAGATAAAAATATTTCAGCATTTCCACCAAGAACTAGCTTGGACCATCTGGCCATGTTAACTGTGGTTTGACATGGGCCTCCACTAACATCATCATGATGACAGGCCCTCACTCTCTAACCATTAGGGGGTCACTGCACTGAAGGCCAACACAGAGCCACTAACAGGTACAGTTCTGGAGAACTCCCTTCAGATCTAACCACACTGGTAGGTCTGATGCAGCTCAGGCCATGTCTGACCCACCAATCTCCAGACAGGATACTTATAAGGCTTTGTGGAATAGGATTTATTTTTAAAGCCAAAAATTAGTAAAGGTAGTAAAGAACTCAGTTTGCATCCACAAGAATAAATGTCGTGGAAGAATCTGAAGAAATCTTTATGTTATCAGTCCACAAGACACTTAAAAGCCTATGAAAGATAAAAGAATGCTATAAAAAGAGCACAAGGCAATCTAACCACCACACTTACCTGTGATAAGAAGCTACAGATCTCAGCTGACAATGTGGTACAGCAGTGTACAGAAGCACAGAAATGAATGAACATGGGAAATGAAGTTTCATCATGCCCCATAAGAACAAGAGGTCACCTTAGGTTGGAAATAAAGTGCATTTCTGCATTTCCAGAAAGATCAGAATTGAATAAGACTCTAACAACTGACAACAACTTCACAATAAAGTATGTAATTAGGATTATATGAGCAGAAGTACAGCCAAGCATAGCAATTTCTATAAATGATGCAAATCCTGTGCCAAATTCAATGTTGGCATCAGCATGGAAATTTCTCCCCAGTATCCCACAGAAATCCAGCTACCAGGCCACAAGTGAGAAATGCATTGTCTAATGTCTGTAAACTCCATGCAGACCACCCAGGAAGCCACAAAGCACAGTGTCCAGTATCTATCAAGTTTTCAAATTGCCTCTTGCATCTGTAGCCAATACAGGACTATACAAGCAAAATGGGCAAAATTTTCCTCTTATGCCACTAATCTGAAATCAACAATCAAAGAATTAACTTGGCTCACTGCTTTTATCCTTTCTAACTACCCATAACCAATTTCACTGATGACTTGAGTCCTATTCCTTTCAGCAGCCAGCTGCTTAGAAGCACAGTACAAATAACAGCCCACAGAAATAGAAAATGAATCTTCTTTTTAAAAGACTGGCTATATGCAGTTCTAATTCTGTATTTAACTGGTAATTGCAAATACAGGAGGGAAGGCAGAATGTTCAATTTTATCTATTTTATTCAAAATCTTTGTTTGTCAAAGAAATCACTATGATACTCCAGAGACAGAGCCCTCTCAAGAGCAGCTCAGACCACCCTGATAAAGTTCATCTTGTCCAGTGCAGTTTGGTCTCTGCAGAACTGAGACTCCCACTGAGTTAAGCCTTGGTCACTGTCCACATCCAAGTTCTACGTCTGTGGCAAAGGCCAGATAAAATGACTTACCATGCAATGAAAAAGGTCAAACACATCACATTCACCTTGGACTAAGAAAACACACATGGACAGTTATTAAAGTTCAGCTGATGCAAAGAAATTCTGCTGGAACTCAAGAGACAAGAAAGAATTAAAGAAAAAAACTCATGTTAAATGGATCAACTGAAAAGGACAAAAGAAAGCTTTTCTTCCAGGGTTAAAAAAATACCACTCAGGATTACTGAGCAACAATGAAAGTACTGGACAAACAAAGACTTAATGTTGCATCCTTTCCTTAGGATTTTCACTTTAACCTCTTCAGTGATGGAATTTACTGTTGAAACATAATCTCCTGAGGCTATTTAAGTAACTGGGGAATAAAAAGAGATTGCGAAGCCAGGCTTGGAAGTGGTAGAGCTGAGGCCACCCAGGCTCCTCAGCACAGCCCTGCACAGACTGCATGCATGTGTTCCAGTTCCCTCCACACTCCCATTTACTTTTTTGCATCCACATTTAACAGCCTTTTTCTCCAGGCTGTCCAAGTGACATCAAGGAGACACCAAGAATACTAGCGAGACAAAGCCCAGTCTGTAAAGCTAAGTGCTCAGCCCTTGCAGCACAGCACTAGAAGAATACCTCACCAATCTACGTCTGTGTAGAACCATCTGCCCATTTGACATTTCCACCATGTGTGGCAAAAAAAATTAATTCTTCAACAATTTTAGTGTAGCCTCACTTAGGCTTCCTTTTTTTTTTTAATGTGGAACAAAAGAACTTCCTAAACAA